GCTTTGCCTGGTCCAAGAGCTTGCCTGGTCCAAGAGCTTTCGTGGTCCAGGAGCTTGCTTGGTCCAGGAGCTTGCCTGGTCTAGGAGCTTGCCTCGTCCAGGAGCTTGCATGGTCCAGGAGCGTGTCTGATCCACGAGTTTGCCTGGTCCTGAAGCTTGCCTGGTCCAGGAGCTTGCCTGGTGTAGGAGCTTGCAAGGTCCAGGAGCTTGCCTGGTCCAGGAGCTTGCCTGGTCCAGGAGCGATCCTGGTCCAGGAGCTTGCCTGGTCCAGGAGCTTGCCTGTTCCATGAGCGTGCCTGGTCCAGGAGCTTGCCTTGTCCAGGAGCTTTCTTGGTCCGTTAGCTTGCCTCGTCCACGAGCGTGCCTGATCCACGAGCTTGCCTGGTCCAAGAGCGTGCCTGGACCAGGAGTGTGCCTGGTCCACGAGCGAGCCTGGTCCAGGAGCTTGCCTGGTCCCGGAGCTTTCGTGGTCCAGGAGCTTGCCTGGTCCGGAAGCTTGCCTGGTCCAAGAGCTTGCCTGGTCCTCGAGCCTGCCTGGTCCAAGAGCTTGCGTGGTCCAGGAGCTTTCGTGGTCTAGAAGCTTGCGTGGTCCAGGAGCTTGTCTGGTCCAAGAGCTTGCCTGGTCCAAGAGCTTGCGTGGTCTAGAAGCTTGCCTGATCTACGAGCTTGCCTGGTCTAGGAGCTTGCCTGGTCCAGGAGCTTGCTTGGTCCAGGAGCGTGCTTGGTCCACGAGTTTGCCTGGTCTAGAAGCTTGCCTGGTCCAAGAGCTTGCCTGGTCTAGGAGCTTGCATGGTCCAGGAGCGTGCCTAGTCCAGGAGCTAGCGTGGTCCAGGAGCTATCCTGGTCCAGGAGCTTGCCTGGTCCAGGTTTGTGCCTGGTCCACGAGTTTGCTTGGTCCTGAAGCTTGCCTGGTCCAAGAGCTTGCCTGGTCTAAGAGCTTGCATGGTCCTGGAGCGTGCCTGGTCCAAGAGCTTGCCTGGTCCAAGAGCTATCCTGGTCCAGGAGCTTGCCTGGTCCAGGAGCTTGCCTGGTCCAGGAGCTTGCCTGTTCGAGGAGCGTGCCTGGTCCAAGAGCTTGCCTGGTCCAAGAGCGTGTATGGTCCACGAGTGTGCCTGGTCCATGAACTTGCCTGGTCAGGAGCTTGCCTAGTCAAGGAGCTTGCCTGGTCCAAGAGCTTGCCTGGTCCAGGAGCTTGCCTGGTCCAGGAGCTTGCCTGGTTCAAGAGCTTGCCTGGTCTAGGAGCTTGCCTGGTCCAGGAGCTTGCCTTGTCCAGGTTCGTGCCTGGTCCACGAGTTTGCTTGGTCCAGAAGCTTGCCTGGTCCAGGAGCTTGCCTGGTCTAAGAGCTTGCATGGTTCAGGAGCGTGCGTGGTCCAAGAGCTTGCTTGGTCCAGGAGCTATCCTGGTCCAGGAGCTCGCCTGGTCCAGGAGATTGCCTGGTCCAAGAGCTTGCCTGTTCCAGGAGCGTGCCTGGTCCAAGAGCTTGCCTGGTCCAAGAGCGTGCATGGTCCACGAGCGTGCCTAGTCCAGGAGCTTGCTTGGTCTAGGAGCTTGCCTGGTCAAGGAGCTTGCCTGGTCCAGGAGCTTGCTTGGTCCAGGAGCTTGCCTTGTCCACGAGCCTGCCTGGTCCAAGAGCTTGCCTCGTCCGGGAGCGTGCACGGTCCACGAGCGTGCCTGGTCCAGGAGTTTGCCTGGTCCAGGAGCTTGCGTGGTACAATAGCTTGCTTGGTCCAGAAGCCTGCCTGGTCCAAGAGCTTGCCTGGTCCAAGAGCGTGCCAGGTCCAAGAGCTTGCGTGATCCAGGAGCTTGCGTGGTCGAGGAGCTTGCCTGGTCCAGGAGCTTCCCTGGTCCAGGAGCTTGCCTGGTCCAAGAGCTTGCCTGGTCCAAGAGCTTGCGTGGTCCAGGAGCTTGCCTGGTCCAGGAGCTTGCTTGGTCTAGGAGCTTGCCTGGTCCAGGAGCTTGCCTGGTCCAGGAGCTTGCCTGGTCAAAGAGCTTGCCTGGTCCAGGAGTTTGCCTGGTCCAGAAGCTTGCCTCGTCCAGGAGCTTGCCTGGTCTAGGAGATTGCATGGTCCAGGAGCGTGCCTGGTCCAGGAGCTTGCCTGGTCCACGAGCTATCCTGGTCCAGGAGCTTGCCTGGTCCAGGAGCTTGCCAGGTCCAGGAGCTTGCCTGTTCCACGAGCATTCTTGGTCCAGGAGCTTGCCTTGTCTAGGAGCTTTCTTGGTCCGTTAGCTTGCCTGGTCCAGGAGCTTGCCTTGTCCAGGAGCTTGCCTGGTCCAGGAGCTTGCGTGAACCAATAGCTTGCTTGATCCAGAAGCCTGCCTGGTCCAAGAGCTTGCCTGGTCCACGAGCGTGCCTGGTCCAAAAGCTTGCCTGGTCCAGGAGCTTTGCCTGGTCCAAGAGCTTGCCTGGTTCAAGAGCTTGTGTGGTCCAGGAGCTTGCCTGGTCCAGGAGCTTGCCTGGTCTAGGAGCTTGCCTGGTCCAGGAGCTTGCCTGGACGAGGAGCGTGCCTGATCCACGAGTTTGCCTGGTCCAGAAGCTTGCCTGGTCCAGGAGCTTGCCTGGTCTAGGAGCTTGCATGGTCCAGGAGCTTGCCTGGTCCAGAAGCTTGCCTGGTCTAGGAGCTTGCCTGGTCCAGGAGCTTGCCTGTTCCACGAGCGTGCCTGGTCCACGAGCTTGCCTTGTCCAGGAGCTTTCTTGGTCCGTTAGCTTGCCTTGTCCACGAGCGTGCCTGATCCACGAGCTTGCCTGGTCCGAGAGCGTGCCTGGACCAGGAGTGTGCCTGGTCCACGAGCGAGCCTGGTCCAGGAGCTTGCCTGGTCCCGGAGCTTTCGTGGTCCAGGAGCTTGCCTGGTCCGGAAACTTGCCTGGTCCAGGAGCTTGCCTGGTCCTCGAGCCTGCCTGGTCCAAGAGCTTGCGTGGTCCAGGAGCTTTCGTGGTCCAGAAGCTTGCCTGGTCCAGGAGCTTGCCTGGTCCAAGAGCTTGCCTGGTCCAAGAGCTTGCGTGGTCTAGAAGCTTGCCTGGTCCACGAGCTCGCCTGGTCTAGGAGCTTGCCTGGTCCAGGAGCTTGCTTGGTCCAGGAGCGTGCTTGGTCCACGAGTTTGCCTGGTCTAGAAGCTTGCCTGGTCCAAGAGCTTGCCTGGTCTAGGAGCTTGCATGGTCTAGGAGCGTGCCTAGTCCAGGAGCTAGCCTGGTCGAGGAGCTATCCTGGTCCAGGAGCTTGCCTGGTCCAGGAGCTTGCCTGGTCTAGGAGCTTGCGTGTTCCACGAGCATGCCTGGTCCAGGAGCTTGCCTTGTCCAGGAGCTTTCTTGGTCCGTTTGCTTGCCTGGTCCAGGAGCTTGCCTGGTCCAAGAGCTTTCTTGGTCCAAGAGCTTGCCTGGTCCAGGAGCTTGCCTGGTCCAGGAGCTTGCCTGGTCCAGGAGCTTGCCTGGTCCACGAGCCTGCTTGGTCCGAGAGCTTGCCTGGTCTTTGAGCTTGTCTGGTCTTTGAGCTTGCCTGGTCCAGGAGCTTTCCTGGTCTAGGACCTTGCGTGGTCCAAGAGCTTGCTTGGTCCAGAAGCCTGCCTCGTCCACGAACTTGCCTGGTCCAGGAGCGTGCCTTGTCGAAAAGCTTGCGTAGTCCAGGAGCTTGCCTCGTCCAAGAGCTTGCCTGGTCCAAGAGCTTGCGTGGTCCAGGAGCTTGCCTGGTCCAGGAGCTTGCCTGGTCTAGGAGCTTGCCTGGTCCAAGAGCTTCCTTGGTCCAGAAGCATGTCTGGTCCACGAGTTTGCCTGGTCCAGAAGCTTGCCTGGTCCAGGAGCTTGCCTGGTCTAGGAGCTTGCATGGTCCAGGAGCGTGCCTGGTCCAGGAGCTTGCCTAGTCCAGGAGCTATCCTGGTCCAGGAGCTTGCTTGGTCAAGGAGCTTGCCTGTTCCAGGAGCTTGCCTGTTCCAGGAGCTTGCCTGGTCTAGGAGCTATCCTGGTCTAGGAGCTTGCCTGGTCCTGGAGCTTGCGTGGTCCAAGAGCTTGCCTTGTCCAGGAGCTTTCTTGGTCCGTGAGCTTGCCTGGTCCAGGAGCTTGCCTTGTCCAGGAGCTTGCCTGGTCCAAGAGCTTGCTTGGCCCAAGAGCTTGCGTGGTCCAGGAGCTTGCCTGGTCTAGGAGCTTGCCTGTTCCAGGAGCTTGCCTGGTCCAGGAGCTATCCTGGTCTAGGAGCTTGCCTGGTCCAGGAGCTTGCCTGGTCGAGGAGCTTGCGTGGTCCAAGAGCTTGCCTGGTCCAGGAGCTTGCCTGGTCCAGGAGCGTGCCTGGTCCACGACTTTGCCTGGTCCAGAAGCTTGCCTGGTTTAGGAGCTTGCCTGGTCTAGGAGCTTGCATGGTCCAGGAGCGTGCCTGGTCTAGGAGCTTGCCTGGTCCAGGAGCTATCCTGTTCCAAGAGCTTGCCAGGTCCAAGAGCTTGCCTGGTCCAGGAGCTTGCCTGTTCGAGGAGCGTGCCTGGTCCAAGAGCTTGCCTGGTCCAAGAGCGAGCATGGTCCACGAGCATGCCTGGTCGAGGAACTTGCCTGGTCAGGGAGCTTGCCTGGTCAAGGAACTTGCCTGGTCCTGGAACTTGCCTGGTCCAAGAGCTTGCGTGGTTCATGAGCTTGCCTGGTCTAGGAGCTTGCCTGGTCCAGGAGCTTGCCTGGTCCAGAAGCGTGCCTGGTCCACGAGTTTGCCTGGTCCAGAAGCTTGCGTGGTCCAGGAGCTTGCCTGGTCTAGGAGCTTGCATGGTCCAGGAGCGTGCCTGGTCCAGGAGCTTGCCTGGTGCGGGAGCTATCCTGGTCCAGGAGCTTGCCTAGTCCAGGAGCTTGCCTGGTCCAAGAGCTTGCTTGTTCCAGGAGCGTGCCTGGTCCAAGAGCTTTCCTGGTCCAAGAGCGTCCATGGTCCACGAGCGTGCATGGTCCAGGAGCTTGCCTGGTCCAGGAGCTTGCCTGGTCAAGGAGCTTGCCTGGTCCAGGAGCTTGCCTGGTCCAGGAGCTTGCTTGGTCCAGGAGCTATCCTGGTTCAGGAGCTTGCCTAGTCAAGGAGCTTGCCTGGTCCAGGAGCTTGCCTGGTCCAGGAGCTTGCGTGGTCCACGAGCCTGCCTGGTCCAAGAGCTTGCCTGGTCCAGGAGCGTGCATGGTCCACGAACGTGCATGGTCCAGGAGCTTGCCTGGTCCAGGAGCTTGCATGGTCCAATCTCTTGCTTGGTCCAAAAGCCTGCCTGGTCCAAGAGCTTGCCTGGTCGAGGAGCGTGCCTGGTCCAAGAGCTTGACTTATCCAGGACGTTGCGTGGTCGAGGAGCTTGCCTGGTCAAGGATCTTGCCAGGTCCAGGAGCTTGCCTGGTCCAAGAGCTTGCCTGGTCCAAGAGCTTGCGTGGTCCAGGAGCTTGCCTTGTCTAGGAGCTTGCCTGGTCTAGGAGCTTGCCTGGTCTAGGAGCGTGCGTGGTCCACGAGTTTGCCTGGTCCAGAAGCTTGCCTCGTCCAGGAGCTTGCCTGGTCTAGGAGCTTGCATGGTCCAGGAGTGTGCCTGGTCCAGGAACTTGCCTAGTCCAGGAGCTATCCTGGTCAAGGAGCTTGCCTCCTCACGGAGCTTGCCTGGTCCACGAGCGTCCACGTCCATGTCCAAGTCCACGTCCTTGTCTACGTCCACGTCCACGTCCATGTCCACGTCCACGTCTACGTCCACGTCCAAGTCCATGTCCACGTCCACGTCCACGTCCACGTCCATGTCCACGTCCACGTCCACGTCCACGTCCACGTCCACGACCACGTCCACGTCTACGTCCACGTCCACGTCTAAGTCCATGTCCACGTCCACGTCCACGTCCACGTCCACATCCACGACCATGTCTTCGTCCACGTCCACGTCCACGTCCATGTCCACGTCCAAGTTCTCCACGTCCACGTCCACGTCCACGTCGACGTCCACGTACATGTCCACGTCCATGTCCACGTCCACGTCCACGTCCATGTCCATGTCCACGTCCATATCCACGTCCACGTCCACGTCCACGTCCACGCCTATCTCCACGTCCAAGTCCTCCGCGTCCATGTCCACGTCCATCTCCACGTCCACGTCCACGTCCATGTCCACGTCCAGGTCCACGCCCACGTCCACGTCCATGTCCACGTCCACGTCCACGTCCATGTCCACGTCCACGTCCATGTCCACGTCCATGTCCATGCCACGTCCACGTCCATGTCCACGTCCACGTCCATGTCCACGTCCACGTCCACGTCCACGTCCACGTCCACGTCCACGTCCACGTCCATGTCCACGTCCATGTCCACGTCCACGTCCATGTCCACGTCCACGTCCATGTCCACGTCCACGTCCACGTCCACGTCCATGTCCACGTCCATGTCCACGTCCACGTCCATGTCCACGTCCACGTCCACGTCCACGTCCACGTCCACGTCCACGACCACGTCCACGTCCACGTCCACGTCCACGTCCACGTCCACGTCCATCTCCACGTCCACGTCCACGTCCACGTCCACGTCCACGTCCACGTCCACGACCACGTCCACGTCCACGTCCACGTCTAAGTCCATGTCCACGTCCACGTCCACGACAATGTCTTCGTCCACGTCCACGTCCACGTCCACGTCCACGTCACGTCCACGTCCACGTCCACGTCCACGTCCAGGTCCAGGTCCACGTCCATGTCCACGTCCAGGTCTACGTCCACGTCCATGTCCACTAGATTTATATATTTCCCACCTTGTGATCGAGTGAGACCGCTAGATTCCCTCTACTTTTTGAGAAATGAGCGTTTCCGTTCTCCTTGGCCCTAGTTGCACTATAAGTGCGAAATGCCGACCAGACTGGCCGATGCACGATTTTCTCTACACGTGTACGTTAGTTACCTTTCAAACCCTTACGTTCACTAGATGAATATATTTCCTACTTTCTATTTGAGTGAGACCACTTGATTCCGTGTACTATGCGAGATCTGAGCGCTTCCGTTCTCCCTGGCATTTGCATTTTAAGTTCCGATACTGACCGACCTGGCCAATGCACCATTTTCTCTATACATGTGCGTTGAATACATTTCCAACCTTTTTAGCTGACTAGATTTATATATTTCCCACCTTCTGATCGAGTGAGACCGTTAGATTCCCTTTACTTTTTGAGAAACGAGCGTTTCCGTTCTCCCTGACCCCACCTGCACTATGAGTGCGAAATGCCGGCCAGACTGGCCGATGCACCATTTTCTCTACACATGTGCGTTAGTTACCTTTCAAACCCTTACGTTCACTAGATGAATATATTTCCTACCTTATATTTGAGTGAGACCACTAGATTCCGTGTATTATGCGAGATATGAGCGGTTCCGTTCTCTGAGGCATTTGTACTCTAAGTTCCCATACTGACCGGCCTGGCCAATGCACCACTTTTCATATACATATGCATTAGATTCCTTCCGAACCTTATTAGCTCACTATATTTATAAGGGCCTAAACCCTGAGAGCGCAGAGTGGGATGAGCATCAGCAGCAGGGGCAGGAGAGGCGCCAGAAGTGAGGTCAAAGAGAGAGAGGCCGTCTGCCCTATCGCACTGTAAAAACAACTGCAGGTCGTCGACCCATACCTCAAAGTCAATGGCGCGACCCTCAGCGTCAAAAGCTAGGACACTAGGGGTAGCCATGACGACGACAGCGAAGCAGTGCAAGCAGTAGGGGAAGAGCACGCAGTGACTGTGGGACTGTGCTCACCAGGCAGGGCAGCGCTGCAGAAGGGCGGCTCGGCAACTCAGCGACTCGGCTGCTGGGCGGCTCGGCTTCCGGGCGGCTCGGTGTCGGGCGACTCGGGTGCAGGGCGGCTCGGCTCCCGGGCGGGTCGGCGGCAGGGCGGCTCGGCTGCACCGCTGCTCGGCTGCTGCAGGTGGGCGGCTCGGCTGCTGCAGGTAGGGTGACGGGGGCGTGAGACCAGGGGCGGCGGGGCCGGCGAAGCAGGGCCGGCAGGGGGGACGGCGGGGCCGCGTCTGAGCGGGCGGCGGGGCCGCGGCTCAGCAGGCGGCGGGGCCGCGTAGTAGTGGGCGGCGGGGCCGGGGCTGAGCAGGCGGCGGGGCCGCGTCAAAGCGGGCGGCGGGGCCGCGTCAAAGCAGGTGGCGGGGCCGCGTCGTAGTGGGCCGCGGGGCCGGGGCTGAGCAGGCGGCGGGGCCGCGTCAAAGCGGGCGGCGGGGCCGCGTCAAAGCATGCGGCGGGGCCGCGTCGAAGCAGGCGGCGGGGCCGCGTCAAAGCAGGCGGCGGGGCCGCGTCAGAGCAGACGGCGGGGCCGCGTCAAAGCGGGCGGCGGGGCCGCGTCGTAGCGGGCGGCGGGGCCGCGTCTGAGCAGGCGGCGGGGCCGCGTCTGAGCGGGCGGCAGGGGCCGCGTCTGAGCGGGCGGCGGGGCCGCGTCGTAGCGGGCGGCGGGGCCGCGGCTGAGTAGGTGGCGGGGCCGCGTCTGAGCAGGCGGCGGAGCCGCGATCGAAATGGGCCGCGGGATCTGAACGTTTCCGTTCTCCCTGGCATTTGTACTCTAAGTACCCATACTGACCGACCTGGCCAATGCACCATTTTCCATATACATATGCATTATATTCCTTTCGAACCATATTAGCTCACTAGATTTATATATTTCCCACCTTCTGATCAAGTGAGACCGCTAGATTCCCTTTACTTTTTGAGAAATGAGCGTTTCCGTTCTCCTTGGCCCTACTTGCACTATAAGTGCGAAATGCCGGCCAGACTGGCCGATGCACCATTTTCTCTACACATGTGCGTTAGTTACCTTTCAAAACCTTACGTTCACTAGATGAGTTTATTTCCTACCTTCTATTTGAGTGAGACCACTAGATTCCGTGTACTATGCGAGATCTGAGCGCTTCTGTTCTCCCTGGCATTTGCACTCTAAGTTCCCATACTGACCGACCTGGCCAATGCACCATTTTCCATATACATATGCATTAGATTCCTTTCGAACCTTGTTAGCTTACTAGACCTATATATTTCCCACCTTCTGATCGAGTGAGACCGCTAGATTCCCTTTACTTTTTGAGAAATAGGCGTTTCCGTTCTCCTTGGCCCTACTTGCACTATAAGTGCGAGATGCCGGCCAGACTGGCCGATGCACCATTTTCTCTACACATGTGCGTTAGTTACCTTTCAAACCCTTACGTTCACTAGATGAATATATTTCCTACCTTATATTTGAGTGAGACCACTAGATTCCGTCTATTATGCGAGATCTGAGCGGTTCCGTTCTCCCAGGCATTTGCACTCTAAGTTCCCATACTGACCGACCTGGCCAATGCACCACGTTCCATATACATATGCATTAGATTCCTTCCGAACCTTATTAGCTCACTAGATTTATATATTTTCCACCTTCTGATCTAGTGAGACCGCTAGATTCCCTTTACTTTTTGAGAAATGAGGGTTTCCGTTCTCCTTGGCCCTACTTGCACTATAAGTGCGAAATGCCGGCCAGACTGGCCGATGCACCATTTTCTCTACACATGTGCGTTAGTTACCTTTCACACCCTTACGTTCACTAGATGAATATATTTCCTACTTTCTATTTGAGTGAGACCACTTGATTCCGTGTACTATGCGAGATCTGAGCGCTTCCGTTCTCCCTGGCATTTGCATTTTAAGTTCCGATACTGACCGACCTGGCCAATGCACCATTTTCTCTATACATGTGCGTTGAATACATTTCAAACCTTTTTAGCTGACTAGATTTATATATTTCCCACCTTCTGATCGAGTGAGACCGTTAGATTCCCTCTACTTTTTGAGAAACGAGCGTTTCCGTTCTCCCTGGCCCCACCTGCACTTTGAGTGCGAAATGCCGGCCAGACTCGCCGATGCACCATTTTCTCTACACATGTGCGTTAATTACCTTTAAAACCATTACGTTCACTAGATGAATATATTTCCTACCTTATATTTGAGTGAGACCTCTAGATTCCGTGTATTATGCGAGATCTGAGCGGTTCTGTTCTCCCAGGCATTTGCACTCTCAGTTCCCATACTGACCGACGTGTCCAATGCACCACTTTCCATATACATATGCATTAGATTCCTTCCGAACCTTATTAGCTCACTAGATTTATATATTTCCCACCTTCTGATCGAGTGAGACCGCTAGATTCCCTCTACGTTGTGAGAAATGAGCGTTTCCGTTCTCCTTGGCCCTACTTGCACTATAAGTGCAAAATGCCGGCCAGACTGGCCGATGCACCATTTTCTCTACACATGTGCGTTAGTTACCTTTCAAACCCTTACGTTCACTAGATGAATTTATTTCCTACCTTCTATTTGAGTGAGACCACTAGATTCCGTGTACTATGCGAGATCTGAGCGCTTCCGTTCTCCCTGGCATTTGCACTCTAAGTTCCCATACTGACCGACCTGGCCAATGCACCATTTTCCATATACATATGCATTAGATTCCTTTCAAACCTTATTAGCTCACTAGATTTATATATTTCCCACCTTCTGATCGAGTGAGACCGCTAGATTCCCTTTACTTTTTGAGAAATGAGCGTAGCCATTCTCCTTGGCTCTACTTGCACTATAAGTGCGAAATGCTGGCCAGACTGGCCAATGCACCATTTTCTCTACACATGTGCGTTAGTTACCTTTCAAACCCTTACGTTCACTAGATGAATTTATTTCCTACCTTCTATTTGAGTGAGACCACTAGATTCCGTGTACTATGCGAGATCTGAGCGCTTCCGTTCTCCCTGGCATTTGCACTCTAAGTTCCCATACTGACCGACCTGGCCAATGCACCATTTTCCATATACATATGCATTAGATTCCTTTTGAACCTTATGAGCTCACTAGATTTATATATTTTCCACCTTCTGATCGAGTGAAACCGCTAGATTCCCTTTACTTTTTGAGAAATAAGTGTTTCCGTTCTCCTTGGCCCTACTTGCACTAGAAGTGCGAAATGCCGGCCAGACTGGCCGATGCACCATTTTCTCTACACATGTGCGTTAGTTACCTTTCAAACCCTTACGTTCACTAGATGAATTTATTTCCTACCTTCTATTTAAGTGAGACCACTAGATTCCGTGTACTGTGCGAGATCTGAGCGCTTCCGTTCTCCCTGGCATTTGCACTCTAAGTTCCCATACTGACCGACCTGGCCAATGCACCATTTTCCATATACATATGCATTAGATTCCTTTCGAACCTTATTAGCTCACTAGATTTATATATTTCCCACCTTCTGATCGAGTGAGACCGCTAGATTCCCTTTACTTTTTGAGAAATGAGCGTTTCCGTTCTCCTTGGCCCTACTTGCACTATAAGTGCGAAATGCCGGCCAGACTGGCCGATGCACCATTTTCTCTACACATGTGCGTTAGTTACCTTTCAAACCCTTACGTTCACTAGATGAATATATTTCCTACCTTCTATTTGAGTGAGACCACTAGATTCTGTGTACTATGCGAGATCTGAGCGCTTCCATTCTCCCTGGCATTTGCACTCTAAGTTCCCATACTGACCGACCTGGCCAATGCACCACTTTCTATATACATATGCATTAGATTCCTTTCAATCCTTATTAGCTCACTAGATTTATATATTTTCCACCTTCTGATCGAGTGAGACCGCTAGATTCCCTTTACTTTTTGAGAAATGAGCGTCTCCGTTCTCCTTGGCCCTACTTGCACTATAAGTGCGAAATGCCGGCCAGACTGGCCGATGCACCATTTTCTCTACACATGTGCGTTAGTTACCTTTCAAACCCTTACGTTCACTAGATGAATTTATTTCCTACCTTCTATTTGAGTGAGACCACTAGATTCCGTGTACTATGCGAGATCTGAGCGCTTCCATTCTCCCTGGCATTTGCACTCTAAGTTCCGATACTGACCGACCTGGCCAATGCACCATTTTTCATATACATATGCATTAGATTCCTTTCAAACCTTATTAGCTCACTAGATTTATATATTTCCCACCTTCTGATTGAGTGAGACCGCTAGATTCTCTCTACTTTTTGAGAAATGAGCGTTTCCGT